ATGCAATCAGCCCAGTGCAGTAGAAAGACATTTACTTTACGCAATAAAGACATGAGGATGATGGCAGACTTTTCAATGAAAGGCTGGCTTACGGAGGAGGGAAACCATTATTCGTCAGAGTGACGGCTGTGAAATTGAGTACGGGAAGCTGAGAAGATGTTTACCGATGTTTACTCTTCATGTGGGGAAGCTCGGGATAGACCTCAGGATTAAATTCAAGGGTTTTGACCTCAATCAAGGAAATAATTACTCTTGCCCCTCTGGTTGGTGGACTGCTTAATTAGCAAGCAAAGCCCCCACAGAAATTCCATTAGAGTGAAAGCAGAGGTGATTAAAACTATAATTCTTATTAGACCCATTAGTACCTTTTTGGGGATGCCTGGCATCATTGAATGTGCTGGGAAATTGAATTCATGATGCTTTGTGTGGATCACAAAATACTTCAGCACGCCCTGCACGGTGTCTTCATCCAGCTCTGCAACAAAACAAGTCATATGACAATAGGATGAAGGGCAGCAGTGAAGTGTGACTCACTCCAGCTTGCTTATGAAGAGTATTCGTGATTGGCATCACTGATAAAAGCTATGGATCGCATACACATGCACTTCTGAGCTGCTCTTTTCTTTCACTGTGTGCTTCATTGCAGTGAATCACTATGCTTCCTATTATATTCTCCCCAAAGAACAAAATGCACACACACACCTGCTGTTATCTGTCATCACCACAGTTGCCATGCCTCCGCCAAAAACAGTCGATACTGATGTAGCACCCACTCGCTCTACAAGAGTGTATAGGTGTGTGTTTTGTTCACAGGCTCTTTTGTGATTAAATGGAACTGCAGCAAAAAGGGAAGTTTGGTACTTTTGTTGTTTTTTGGGCAAATAGGTTGATTACAAAACTGTCCTAGCCTCTAATAGACTATTCAGAGTCCTCTCTTTAGTAATGTATTCTCAGCACTTCCATCACATTTGTATTTTCTTAACAAAATGCCTTTCGGTACTGAAAAGTGAGGACTAACAAATAGGTGCAAAACACTTCCGGTTAGGTTTTACTTTCATTCTCTCTCTGAGCAATTAAAAGCACTAAGAGGGGAAAGGTTTCTAACCCCTAACCCTTTCTGTAAGCTGGCAACGTATCAAAATGTAGAAGGAAAAACAGCAGAAACCCAAAATAGTCCCGAGAGAGCCAAAGTACCGGATGGCACATCTAGGAAAACACAGTCATTGTGATGGAAACCTGCAAAACACTGGAAACAGGAGGAGAAAGGAACACAGCTGAAACTAATCAGAACAATAAATGAGACAGGAAGTTAAGCCCAAAGCGAGACACCTGCGGGTAACAAAGAAGCAACGATTTACTCAAGTGACTCTTGTTTTAACTGGTGACATCGCAATGGGAACCTGGAGATCCTAAACACATCGCTTAATCAGAATTCTTTTATGTAAGTGCGTTGCAGATTCTCTGCTGGGGGATTTGTTTTAAAAGTGCAAGTTGTTCAGGTTTGTCTTACTAAAACCAGTGAATTAAGCACAACTGGTACATGACATTGTCACAGGAATATGCTTGTATTAATTTGGTGATGCAGAAAATGCGTAAATGCTGTTATCCTCTAATCTGCTGCACAGTCTCCTTCACACTGCTGCTAAACACAAAGAGTTCAATTAGTAAAATTCATTTCAAAACCCAAAGTAATTGCTACGTTTCTTTTATTAGCTTATGGAAGACTAACATTTAACATTTAGCTCAGGGCCGAAATAAATCTAAAAATAAAATTATATTCTATTATTTTTTGATCGCTCAAAATAAGCTTCACACTTGCAAAAGCCGGTGTAGCCGCTGAAACGCCGTGCATTTATCGAGACTTTCAACCCCAGGTAGGTCAGCTATGGATCTTTGGATCCACATTATGTCAGCAGCTCCACCGTGAACTATGTTAAAACAAACACGCTCACGCCTCACAGATGACAGCTTACAGTCCTGCGTAAAGATGAAAGTTACTTCGTACAGCCCCGATCTGCAGACGCTGTGTGCAGAGGTTCAGGACGATAAGTCTCATTGTAAACATATCACTGCAGACCCGACGATGTTTGCATGAACACGCTTTTCAGCTTTTCTTTATTGACCACTTTTCACACACGGTTGCTGTACGCACACAGCCGGCTGTAGCTTTGCAGCTCACAGCCCGACACGCACCAACACAACAGCAGAGAGAGCACAGACGTTAATGCGGCGAGGCGTGATTGCGGGTGCCGCTCAGGTGCGTCGCCTCGGTGCTAAAGGTTGCAGAGCCCTGGCTCAGGGGATGTTAAACTGGTGGGCCATAGACCAGTAAAACTACATAATGTATAAAATTATAGTTTTTGTTAATTTACTATAGATGTACTAATAGCAAACAAACAGGAACTTTCCTGTCATTTAATTGTTTATCTGTTATTTAATTCAGGTGTAGTATGAATGGCAATGGGTGGGCAGTCTTATCAACAGCAACTTGTAAAAATACAGTTAAAATTTCCAAATCTGCTTCACATTTTCTAAGGCTGTGGAATGGGCCAGACTGGAGTCTTTACTGGGCCCATTCTGGCCCCCAGGCCTTATGTTTGACACCCCTGGTTTAAGAACTTAAGCTCTAATGTCCAACCACAAACAGAAAGAGCACACTCAGCGATAACAAAATTTGCAGAAATTAAAATATTTGTTTTACTGCTCTGTGTAATAAATTCCAGGATGAATCATTTTCAGCAGCATTAAGCTGCTCTCGTATTTATTCTTTATAGATTTTTAATCACCATTTTATCATCACCATCTGAGAAAAAGTCAGGCTCTGATAATATTAAAATAATATAAACATACAGTCATACAGTTGTGACTTTATAACTGCTGATTTCTAATCAATAGCATAACCTGGGGTGGGCTGCAGCACAAACTACCATAAGAAACAAACCACCTTTGTATTACAGGAAACCCGGGGTTAACCTTTGGGACATATGCAGGGCCTCATTCCAGGAAGCAGGTTTAGTGAAGTTAGTTCATCCTGAGAGGAGGGAAACTCTGGGTTTTCTGGTTCAGAAAGAGCTCCAGTCAGTTACCAGTCAGTTACCAGGGTAACAGACTCTGTAAGCCTGACCTGGAATGCTGAATGGTTTTCTTCCTGTTGCACCAGAAGCAGCTGACTGACTGCTGGCTTCATTTCTTCACTCATGAAGTTCCTCTGAAAGCTCAGAGGGAATTCACTTGCAGAATTTTAATTCTACTCAATCAATTACTAATCAGACTCAGAGCATAGACATTAATAACATCTGATTTATTATTCACTCAGAATAAATCAATATCTTTCTTATTCTGTGACTCTGTGGGCAGCAGCTGTCAGAACGTCATTCTTTTGCACAGGAAACGTTTAGTGTACGTTAGCATTGCTGTTTAAATGAAACATACCTGTATAAAGCTTTAGACAACACATTGGCTGTCTCCCAATTCAGGGTCTGCAGCCTTAAAGGCCGCATTTTAAGGCCGATTACGTCACCGCGACGCGACGAAGGCTGTCCCAATTTGAAGGCTGCTCGAAATGCGGCCCTCAAACGCGTCCTTAATTTCCCTGAATTTTAAGGACGTGGCGGTGTAGACTTCGTGGCCCAACATATCCCAGAATGCATAGCGCGGCGGTGGGTGTGGATAATTTTGCCGAAAAAAACGGCGGATGAGGGGCGCTGGAAGAGTAAACTTAAGTAAGTCCTGAATATTATGTCACTTATTTATGTGCAAATGTTTAATAACGAAGAACATTAAAACATTACTGTTGGCCACATGTCGGCAAAGTCATGTGACATTAGTGACGTTTGTACTAACTTGGTTTTACAGCCTTTACTTTAAAATATATGCTGTTAAATAGCTGAGCTTAATCTTACAGAGAATGCTCAAAGCTCATGTAGAAACAAACAAACAAATGAACAAAAGATTTTATCTTTAATTTCTGTCAAACAAAGCTGTATGAAACGTTTCCAGCTGTTAGTATCATGGTTGCTAGGCAACCTGGGCAGCGCAACGGAGGCTAGACCGTCCCATTTCACAAGCCTCGCACTTCCGGCCTTAGCGGTCTTTAAGTACGCGGCCCTTGAGGATCGTTGAGGCTGCGTACTTTAAGGCTGCAGACCCTGAATTGGGATACAGCCCCTGTGTGATGATGACTTATGCCATGTTGTAATTCGTCACATAACCTCTGTCACACTTGGGATTTTGGAGTTCATGTAAATCTTTGAGGCTGAAACGATTTTCAGACTAAAACAGCATTTCATTTATTTTAAAGTTGCTCCTGAAATGCAGCCGCAGACGATCTTCTCGACATTCTCAAAGATTGAGATTCAGTCATTAAACGATGCCCAACAACATTTTGAAATGGTGCATTTGTCTATTTGTGAGTTCTGTGAATACGACGTTGCCAGACTGATAAGTTCTACCTGCACTGACTTTGTTTGCTGTTTACAGTTTTTGTTGGATCAAACACCAGAACCGTATTTAAATGAGCTATTTGTAACTGCTAACCGTATTTTTTCTGCGTTTACACAGACAAATTCTTTTGTTATTCGTTCAAATAAAAGCTCCATCTGGGCCTTCGTTTTCATTATTTACCAAAATAATGGTGTCCGTTTCTGACGTAACAAATTCCCTGTCTGAACTCCAACGTGGGCGGGGCTCGGACAATTCGAATCACATTACACGTCTCGGACTTGGCGCTCAACCAATCACAACGCGGTACTGAGGTTTCTTAGCCAATGACGATGCGTGTATAGGCAGAGCGGGATGTTCCGAAACTTAGACACGGAAGTTTGTAACATTTCCTCTGTTTTCTGTGTGTGTCATAAACAACAACTAAGAAACTCGTATTTGTTGAACATGGTTTCGTGTAAATTGCCTCCAGTCGAATAAACGGAGGATTCGAGGCGTTCCGTCGCTCATAAAAGAAGCTGAAGTGTTCCGGGTAAGTTGGAAATCAAAGTAGGAAGAGCTTCGTGTTTCGTTGCCCTTTTAAACCACAGACTGCGCCATGTTAAACGCACCGTCGGTTACCACCTTCATACGGTCAGTCGGAAGCGTCATTGTCTGTAATATACGGTTCATGGTTGTTCTTCAGTTAAACTATTTTAAGATTTGTTGTGTTGACTCGTTACGAACCTGAACGTCAACTTGAGGTTAGTATTTTCTCCTGTCATAAGCTACGATATGGATAAATGTAACGCTTGCTTACTATATTAAAGCGCTGTTTACGGTGTGCTAACTTTAGCGACCACTTGAACGTGGTTGTATAACATTAATCTGTGTTTGTCAGGAGACACAGCAGCTTCCGGGAGAGATGGAGGAGCTCTACACCTTAGAGAGGGAGGTGGGACGAGGCAGTTACGGTGTGGTGTTTGAGGGCCGTGTGGCCAAAACTGGACAGAAGGTGGCTATTAAGCGGCTGCCCTGCAGCAACCCAGAGTGTATTGAACTCTACTTGCAAGAGCTGTGGGCCATGAGAACCACAGCCAGGAACCACGTCAATGTCATTGCACTGCACAGCTGCCTCCTGCAGACGGGGTCCAGGAGCCTGAAGACCTTAAAACCAGGGAACCTGCCCCTGCGTCTGGTTGAGAGCGTGCTCAAAGGAAGTGTGGTCACAGCAAAGCAAAGTCAGGAAAGCACCAGTCCTCAGTCTAACACCAGGAGGACAAACTCTGGCTTCAGACTGCAGGACAGGACTAACACTGTGCAGGCCAGAGCTCATCTCCATAACAAGGATGAATCAAATGCATCTGAGTCCACAACCCCTCAAAGGCCTCAGAGCAGAGTCAGGAAGAGACCGGCCCCGAGGGAGGAAGAGCAGGCTGCGCCGCTGCGCTGCTTGGCCCTGTGGCTCGTGATGGAGTACTGTGATGGAGGAGACTTGAATCAGTACCTGCTCTCCAGGCCCCCAGATGCTCAGCGTAACCACAGCGTGGTGCAACAGCTGTGCGGCGCCGTGGCCTTCCTACATAGCCTGGGAATCACCCACCGGGACCTGAAACCTGACAATGTGCTGGTGTGTGTGACACCAAAAGGCCCCGTCGTCAAGGTGGGCAGATGTGACGGTGTTTATCTCAGATCAAGTGGCGTCAAGCTTTGTTTGAAAAGTCACACTGTTCAAATTTGAAGGCACATTAGTGCTTAATAGTTCTGCTCTCTGAGGGGGTGTTTGCTTTTCACAGCAGCAGTCTGCTTGAGACGCAATTAACATAACAAAGTAAAATATGAAGAAAACAATTGGAAACAAAATTGCTCTACTGATCTCTTTATAGCTCAGCAATGAACACATTATTTACAAAGCAGAGGGAAAATATTTATGGCACAGCAGTGCAGCCAGGAAGTGAGATTCTACTGAAAGTCAAATCACAGATCGAGTGTTCGTGTAAATCCATCATTTTAAGAGGTATAGTTAAAAAAACAAGCCAGATTATCTGGTGAGTTTTTATCTTTATTTGTGGAACAAATGAAACTAAATTAAGATGCAGCTACAGGTTGCTTTCTTTGTTTGTTGATCTGCCACTTACGTCTCTGCAGAACATCAGAAAGTCCTGAAGCATGTCCAGCCAAAAGTGATGTCATCACATGTAAAGAGCACTCTCTACCAACATTTAGTCATCGTTCTGTAACGATCAGACCTCACGTGTCTTTGTAAATCATCTTAGATGCGTGGATGAGTCTTGATGAAACTTCGGCCACTGTGACTGCCAACATCTCTTTGGTGCTTACAAATATTTTTACTCATCCACACATTGTTGGATCAAGCACCAAATAAAAGTGTCACCGTGTAGAATAAAGTCAGATTAGAGTAGCGTGTCACGATATAATATAAATCAGGGGTCCCCAATCCCAGTCCATGAGGGCCGGTGTCCTGCAGGTTTTAGATCTCACCCTGGGTCAACACACCTGGATCACATGATTAGTTCATTACCAGGCGTCTGGAGAACCTCAAGACGGTTATTTATCCGTTTAAATCAGCTGTGATGGATCAAGGACACATCTAAAACCTGCAGGGACACCGGACCTCGTGGACTGGGATTAGGGACCCTGATATAAATGATCATAGCAGATGTATGTTTCCCATCTTCCCAATGGTTGATTAATTTTCTACCAGTTGGCTAGTAGAAAAAAAACCTTTGCGTGCCAGCTTTTCTTTCTTTTTCTTTTTTGTTCTAAGCCAGATATTAAAAGTAAAGGACAGCGCTTTTTACTGTCCTTCTAAAACCAGGGGCAGGCAACTCCAGGCCTCGAGTGTCCTCCAGGTTTTAGATGTGTCCATGATCCATCACAGCTGATTTAAAGGGCTAAATGACTCCTCAGCATTTCTGAAGTTCTCCAGAAACCTGGTAATGAACTAATCATGTGATTCAGGTGTGTTAACCCAGGGTGCAATCTAAAACCTGCACTCGAAGCCTGGAGTTGCCCACCCCTGTTCTAAAACTATTGGTGGCACATTGATGAGACTATGCCCAAGCTTTAAGCTAACCGAAGGTGTGCTGGTTTTTCTTCTTTAACCCGAGGTGGCAGATTTTGGTCTGAGCAAAATGAGTGAGGGCTCCGTGGATGGCGGCTTGACCAGACAGCACTTCTCCTCCACCTGTGGTTCGGACTTCTACATGGCTCCAGAGGTGTGGGGCGGGCTGACCTACACGGCCCAGGCAGACATATTCTCTCTGGGCGTGATGTTCTGGGCGGTCCTGGAGAGAATCACCTTTCTGGAAGAAGGGACGACTCAGGAACAACTGGGTAAGCGTCTCGCTGAGAGAAGACGTCACCATAAGCCTCTGCCTCACTATTTGGCGCACTCGCAGGAAGGTGGGAAAGGTTGAGTGTGCGGTCGGCCCGGTGATGATGCATCGCGCTGAATCCAGTTTGCCTTAATTAAGTGGCACATATTAAAAATGTCAGCTGCTATACATCATTCATTTATCAAGCATGGATGGTGCGATCATAAATCTAAATAGCAAAAAGATGAATGATGATTTATGCAATGCTGATGTGGATTATAGTACCTTGTGTTTTAATACAAGCTGACATTATGTAATTCAGCCTTCATCTTATTAATAATTTAAGAAATCTGCGTGTTCGTCCGTTCTCGCATCTTTGCTCCAGACCTGAGGAAGTTTTAATGATCGCTGGCTCTCCACAGTGACTGCTGCCCACTCAGTAAGAGCCATAACAAGAGGGAGATGCAGCATTCAGAAATAAACTGAGATCTCTGAATCCCACAACAGCAAAGTGGTGAAAGTGTAACTTTCAGCAGAAATAAAAGCACTTTTAAAAACGATGTTTTGTGGAAAGGTTGCAAACTTTGATTTGACTTTGACTGCATGATTTGTAAAAAATGTACAAACTTTAGACGTGTAACGTAACACAGCGGTCCCCAACCCCCGGGCCACGGACCGGTTTGGTACCGGGCCGCGAGAGTTGAGGCTCGAGTGTGAAATTGATGGTTTTCAAGGTTTTTATCATTAACTCTGTTTCCCTGGGTCTTTCCCATGTTGTAGTTGTGCGTCTTATTTTGAAAGAAATGTTTATGCGTTACCATAGCGACAAGAGAGCATTAAGGGGCGGAGAGGAGGATGTTACTCTCAGTGTTGTTGTTTCAGGAGGACGCTGCTGATAAAGTTACACAGTGAATTCACGTTTATTATCATATTTATTAAATAGCACAGTTTTTGTCTCGGTCGTATCCTTTTATTTTGTTGTTTATCCGCCACACCTTAAAGGCCGGTCCGTGAAAATACTGTCTGACATTAAACCGTCCGTGGAGCAACAACGGGGCGGCTGGGTTATCAC